GCCAGCCGGTCTTTTACATCCAGTCGAAGCACCAGCGAAGCCGTTCACCCAGATTGGAATGGATTTCCTGGGTCCCTTTCCAACTTCCACAACAGGAAACAGATGGATAATCGTGGCCACCGATTACCTCTCCCGTTATGCGGAGACTAAAGCTATTCAGCGCGGCACAGCAGCAGAAGCCGCTCAGTTCTTCATTGAAAACATCGTCCTTCGGCATGGCGCTCCGACAGCAGTGATCACAGACAGAGGACCTGCCTTCGCCGCAGAGCTTTTGGAGTCGGTTCTCAGACTCAGCGGTACAGCTCACCGGAGAACAACTGCATACCATCCGCAGACAAACGGACTGACGGGGCGCCTCAATAGGACCCTCAGAGACATGATCAGCATGTACGTTGACACGGAACATAAAAACTGGGATAAGATATTGCCGTACGTGACCTTTGCCTATAATACCGCTCAACAAGAAACCACTGGAATGACGCCATTCAGGCTGATCTATGGTCGCGAAGTCACGACAACGTTGGACCCCATGTTGCCGCATGAGTTTGACGACATCCATGTAGACGCCGAAGAGTTCACTCAGCGCGCCGAGGAAGCCAGACAGCTCGCGCGTGTGTGCATCTGTCATCGACAGCATCAAGATGCACAACGGTACAACCCCCGACACAAGTTTATAAGCTACACACCAGGCGACAAGGTCTGGGTCTCGATTCCGATACGTCGACGTGGACTGTCAGAAAAACTGCTAAGACGGTACTTTGGCCCATGCAGCGTCACGCGACGCTTGAACGACGTGAACTATGAAGTTGTTCCCGACACTGACAGTGGTTCTAAGCGCCAAAAGCATTAACCCGAAGTCGTACACGTGCACATGAAACCGTATTTATCCAGTTGATGCGACCACTTGATACGCCTGGTAGAGCGCCTAAGTTGCGCATCGGGACGATGCCTCTTTCGGAGGGGGGCAATATTTCGTCACAAAAATAAACCACTTTTTCATTACGTAAAATTGAATATCAACAACAATACAATAACACCCGTCAACTCTTGCCGATTCTTGGCAGTTGTTTTTAGGTTTGAGCTCAACTGGTCTCAGCACATAAATCATGTTCATGCTAAGTTATCAAGATCTCTTGGTATGTTATACAGGCTAAAATATTTATTGCCGTTGCATGTTAGAAAACAATTATATTTCGCTTTTCATTCCCACCTAACATATTGTCATCATGTCTGGGGTACGTGCAACAAGACCGATGCCGAATGTGTTTTCTCTTTACAAAAAAGAAGCTTAAAAATGATTTCATCCCATCCTCCCCCATCAACCGACTCTTTGTATAAAACTCTGAACGTGCCGCCATTCTCAAAATTATATCAGTTTTCTTTTGCAACAATGATTTTCTGCGAATTCAAACATGATAGTACCATGTTCTCAAACAAATATCTAAACAGAGAAGTGGCATATGACCTTTGCACTATTTCATTAACGGGATCGAGACCGAGGACTAGTTACGGTACTAAAACTATAGATTATCAGATTATTTCATTGTTGAATGCATACCCATCTTTAATTGAATTGGCCAATCAAAACTCTAGTATGTCATTTTTTAAAAAACATGTAAAGCAGCTGTTTCTGCCTCCTTGAAATATACAATTGTTTTGCACTGAACAATAAAATTATGCAGTTTTGTATATTTTTATAACTTTGTATAATTGTTAAACCCAAACAATGTAAACTTTGAATAATCTTTTTTCTAATGCATGTTTTACTGTTCATTTTTGGTTACATAAACTATGCAGTGAGCATTGTACCTAATTTTTTTCTGGTTTATTTGTACTTGTTTTTCTGGAGCATTGCACTTATTTTCTCTGATTTTGCTCCTGGCTGTCCGGCGTGCGAGTCTGGGGTGAAGGCTTCGTCAGGAGACGTACGAGTCTCCTTTTGCCTTGCCTCGTGGAGATATTTCAAGTTTTTATGTAACTATGTTCGAAATTAACTATTCTGAATTCTATTCTAAAAAGTAACATTGTAGGTTTGGCCTGTTGCACTCGCACCATGCTGGGGCTCTTGCTGTGTATCATACATGCACTCATTTGCTGTGGGAGTGTTTTTACGGGTAGGCGTCTGCATGCCCATGTTACTCCTCACTGCGCACGAGTATTTTGTTCGGTCATTGCAGCAGCGTCAATACTACTGTCAGTTTGTTGGTGACATGCACTTGAAGCAGTCACGTGCAAGAAGGGAGCACCGAACACCACTATGTTGTATTTATCTGTTGCCTAATAAAAATGTACAGTACCTGTTACAGTGGCTCTACATTTAATTCCCAGCCAAGCAAATAGTTGAGGACTGCTAACACGACAGGATTTATTTTGTTAATTGGTCGTACTTGCGCATGTGTGTGTGGTCTTCATCGTGTCTCTTCATTTTCAGTGCCTCGCGACGTAGTTACACGCACATTTATCGGGTGCTGTTGGGAAACAATAGGCATAGCATGTGTTTGAACATAGCTTCAGCTGGCATTTTAGTGACAGCACGGCAATGCAGTCTGCTTGTGTTGCAAGTTGGCATTTTTTGTCGCCATTTAGAGTACTATCTATCTGTGGGGATGCACTAAAGTAGTAGTCACTGGTCAGCTGGCCACTACGTTCCGAAGTGCTTTTGTGGCATAATGCAATGTTGGCCACAAGTGCGCTGGGAAGTGTTCTAATAACTGTGCTACCACTTTTTGTTGTCACATTGTTATGCTAACACCATCCTGCCATCACTTATTGTGGTGCGAAAAGGGGAAAAAAAAGCGATAGCGAAGCTTTCTTGTTTTTATGTTGGTCACCAGGTACAATGTTGCTTAGCCACATTGTAAAACACTCTATGGTTTTCAATGTAGCTGAGATTGACAAACCTCTAAATAAAAAATTTTCATGAATCCTCAAAAGATTTCATCAAAAGGTTTGTTATTTAGAGGTTTGGCATTATATAATGTGCTACAGGTAAACACGTGTATATAGTTATTTGTTTTCTGTATAATGCACTGCAAAATGAATCATTTGTTTTAATGACACATTGCTCCATAGTAATTAATGCCCAAAACCACGATATTGTTATGAAGGGCATTGGTAATGGAGGGCTTTCGAAAGTTTGACCACCTGGGGTTCTTAAATGTCCGCCTAGATAAAAGTACATGGGCCTCTAGCTTTTCGCCTCCCATCAAAATGCATCCAGTATAACTGGAATTCAGTCCAGTGACCAGCAGGTCAGCAATAACATTAATAGCGTGCGTGTATGATTCAAGAGCTAGTCGCATTCATTGATAAGGCTTCACTTTATGTAGATACCAACTGGAGCAGAGTCTGTCTTTTTTCTTTCTCTCCCCTATAAGGACAGACAGACGTTGTTTTATGCTCACAATTAAGAATATGTGCTTTTTCCTATAATATATTGAAACTTTCAAGAGCTGGCCTATTTCTTATGTTAATCTATCAGCTATGTAGCACTGTGGTACTGTATATGTGTGGGCTTTGTCAAAATGTTACCCACTAATGTGAAGCACCATGGTTTCTTACAGTTTTGAGTTATGCAGCTTATCATTTTCATCTATATTGATAACAAATACCTATTCTGCACTTAACAAGTTCTGGAATGTATGTATGTATGTAAACAGTGCTATTTCTGGAAATTCATATGTAAGGGGCTACTGATGGTCCACTTTGATTCACTACTGTTTAGTATTGCCAAAATGCAAATTAAGGGGAGATGTGAATCAAAAATGCCCCGTCGTGGTGGTCCAGTGGCTAAGGTTTCGGCTGCTGAACCGCAGGTTGCGGGATCGAATCCCGAGTGCGGCAGCTGCATTTCCGATGGAGACAAAAGTGCTGTAAGCCTGTGTGCTCACATTTGGGTAGACGTTACAGAACCCCAGGTGGTTGAAATTTCTCGAGCCCTTCACTACGGCATCTCTCACAATCATACGGGTGGTTTTGGGACGTTAAACTACACATATCAATCATGAATCGAAAATGCAAGTTTTTTTTTTTTTCAGAATTGCACACTTTTTGTTTTTTATTTGTTTTCACAAGCATAGTTTCTCTACTTTCAGACCAAAAAAAAAACAAAAAAATGTGAAGATCGCAATTAAATTTGAAGTAGGTCAAAATTGCTTTCACAGATGCAAGGTGGTGGCTAAAAACTAAAAAAAAAAGCTCATTCTCTAGAGTTTCCTGGAAATCATCATGCTGCTTGCCATTGCATTTCCCATGAGGAGTTGTCTAGTGCCACATGCTCAAAATAACCATGATTGCCGAGCTTCATGATGGAAGCAATCATCTTAAACAACATAACTTTTCCGCATAGATGAATTTTCACGCGTACCTTTAAAATGGATTTTTCTCAAGAGGAACTTTTGGGCAACTTCTTGAGTTTGGACGCCATGTTTTTGGCACTTCTGATGACCTGATCAGGATGAAATTTTCGGCACTCATTCTTTAACATGTGAAGGGTGCAAGTATCTCTTTTAGAACTTGATATTGCTTGTATGATTTTTATGAAACTAAGGTAAGCAAATAATATGGGCTGAGGGTTCTGATAATTATACACATTACATTTTTTTTTTCATTGAAATGTTTTTGATTTTTATAGTTATTTGCATTATGTGGTTAATGTGGATCAATATGGGTCATTAATGGCTCAGAACATTGAAAGTTTAGTGGCATAAAAGGCTTGTCCAAAGGAACTATACACATTGACATGACATGAAATAAAATCTATGAAACTTGCTATAAGACTAATTACATATTTGAAATCAGCATAAACACTTATATATACAGCAAAAATTTCATTGCCCTAGGCTAGAGATTTACACACTTTTTTTTCTCAAGTTGCATCTCCCCTCAATGGAAACCTGTTTACCTCAATTTTATAGTGTCAGTTTTCAATATGTACCTATAGGACATTGCTCAGATGCCTTACAATGTGTGTTCATGAACTCTTGTTTTTCTAATTCTAGGCCCAAGAAGCAATCGCAACACACAAGATTAGTGGTATAGCAGGGACTCGGAACAGACTGGCCAGACCAGATGGCATTGCACTTGGTAGGTGCTTAGTGTCATTATAGATCTGTGAGATATCTGTGCTCTTCAGATGTATAGTGTATATAAATTGTTATGCTCTAGTGCTTCTAGAAAGAAAAAAATGTGAGAAAACTGTCAATCATAATTGTGGAGCACTGTAGAGGGATACCTTACAATACTGCATCTAACACATTGACAGGCAGAAGTCTAAGCAGAGCCACCTTTGTCATTGCTTTACTATGCGTCAGCTAAAGGCTTTAATGTACGTTTTATGCATAAGTCATTTCTAAACACTCTTCCTTCCTTCTATTACAATATTAAATATTTGTGCTGTTGCGACGTCCTTTAAGTCGATAGATATTACATATAATTAATACAGGCGGGAGGCCTGCAGTCGGTGTGGCGGGTAATTTTTCACTGCCAATTCTGCAGGTTGGGCGGACATGGACAGTGATTCGGAGAACCTACCAGAGATGTTGGAGGACCCTTTCGCACCTGAACCATTTGTGGGAGCTGGGGACAGCTTGGACATTGACAACAATGTGTAAGTGCATGAGTATTACTGCTTCCTGTTATATGCATACATATGTGGGCTGATGTCATGAGCCATCGCTGTAGGTCGAGGAGAGGCAGGGAGGGATGAGTTCGTGCCTGTGCCCTTTCAAAATTGTGTGCACACTGTCGTGATTCGGGGTGCTGCGTCGTATCCCACCGCTGCCACCAGTTGTGGTGATCCTACCCGCTGATCACCAGTTGTTGTGATCTCGGGGTGCTGTGGTAGCGTGGTGTAGCTTCGGGTTGAGGAAACGAGCACTTACAAGATGGGGATACGAAAAACAAACAAGGTTTATGGCACTATTTACAAATATTTACAGCATGAAAGGTTAGGAGTTCGCAAACCACGAACGTGGTGGTTGAACCTTTACTTGGTCCAGAGCGTTCACAAACTACGAACGTGGTGGTTGAACCTTTACTTGGTCCAGAGCGTTCACAAACTACGAACATGGTGGTTGAACCTTTTCTGGGTTCAGAGCGACGTCCTGCACTCTGCGGCGCCGTTATAAGCCCTGTCGGGCTCCTCCTTCTTCAGTGGAACACCAATCACACACACACACAACAGGTGAGGGGTACGAGCATGCACGGCGCACGTGAACAGCCAATTTCGAGTCAAGATCACTGCACTTAAAGGTGGCGCCAGAGAGTCTCTTGCTCGTCGTGTATGTCGCTGGTCGAGGGGTTCCAAGCTTCGGACAGCAGACATCAAACGGTCCGCCAAACGGTCCGCTCAATTAGCCGGGCACTTTGTGGCGGCGGTCGCCGTTTCTTCAAAGGAATACGCTCTTTGTTGTCCCCTCCGGAACGGCTTACAGCTTCGTGGCGACAGGACGTCTCATCCGCCGGCTAGCAGGGACAATAGCCGGCGAGCATAGACATTCGGCGAGTCGGCTACTTGTTTGGGGATTAAAAGAGCGCCGCTCCCCCGTCATCTCTGGACGCTGGTTCCGAGAATACTGGAGTTCCAGGCGTGGGAACGCGGCCCGGCTACGCTTCTCAGCGACAGCATGGCGCCTGCTGACGCCGGTCATAACAACACCCACACTTGCACGCACGTACATGTGCGTTGAGAGAGAGATGGTTGAAGCTCTGATTTGATAAAGGGATGATCACACACAAATTCTGTCAAATCTGGAAGTTTGTAAAATAAAAAAAATTAACAGATAAAATGTGCAAGTGCATGAGTATCACCACCACTACCTGTTATATGCATACACGTGTGGGCTAATGTTGTGAGCCATTGGTGTAGCCAGAGGGGAGGGGGAGAGGGGTTCGTGCCTTTGCTTTTTCAAAGTTGCGTGTGTGTGTGCATGTGTGCGCACGTGTATGTGTGTGTGTGTGTGTGTGTGTGTGTGTGTGTGTGTGTGTGGGCATGCACACACACACACACATACACAGTTGAAATTTGGACTTGATAAAGGGACAGCCTCACATAAACTTAGTTAAACCTGGAAGTCATTAAAATAAAAAAATTGATTTTTCGGGCTATCAATGTTTAAAATGGTAACGTTGTGACATCCAAAAGCCACCACAGCATTATATTTGCCGCTGATTGGTATCAGTATGCATGAAAAGTATACCAAGGTGGTCAGGACACGAAGGCTCCTGCAAACAGGCCAAGTAGACGGTGATATCCAGCTATAACAGGCTGCTGATACGCAGTGACTGGGAGAACAAATGCAGGGATTGCATGAGAAGGAAAAAAAAAAAAACAAGGAGTCAGTCACGTTATGAAATAATGTAAACAGCCACCATAGTGTTTGTGTGATACATTTTCAGGGGCAATAAACCACTGCTGCCCCTGGTGCCATCTAGTATGTAAAGAGCCCTACCTACTGTCAAGATTGTTGTTCCATGCTTAGGTGCAGCATGCACGTCCGTCAAAACAAAGCTAGGATTGTGACTAGGGCGACCAAGTATTTTAATGTGGTAGCGTTTCTCCACTACGGCGTCTCTCATAATCATATGGTGGTTTTGGGACGTTAAACCCCACAAATCAATCAATGTGGTAGCGTTTAGAGTGCAAACTCCAAGGAAAACTTGTCTACAAGAAAATTAGAAAGAAATCGATTTCCGAACCCAACTATGCTTTAACATCAATTTATACACCAAACAAAAGCAGTGAAAAACTTTATATTGCCACACATGCTCTTTTCTTTCTGTGTTTTATGTTGCCGGCCCTTGCACGTGTAGAAACTGCCTTGTCAAATTGCACCAGAATGTGTGGGAGCATTTCAGATTATCTTAGGATCATTCGTTAGCTTGAATGCACAAACGTGAACTGCTGAGTTCATTCTCGAACAAATGCGGCTACCAGTGATAACTCTAAAATGTTCAACTCCGCATGTATAAATGCCGACGCGCTTTGCCATGGATCAATTTTTTGACGACTGACGCTGCATACGCCTATGTCAGTGTACAGCGTGCATTGCTTGCTTCATTTGTAGTTTCCATTTCACGGCCACGAGTTTGGCCAAATAAAGAGTTTCATCTTGGACAGGCTGACTACTGCCTTCATCCACATCCTGACCGCGTGACAATATATAGAACATTGGGCAGCAGGAAACACCTCAAAAATTTGGCCTTTCTGCACAAACTTCTGGATTTTCCTCAAGGAAGAGGCCTTTGATGGATGCAGCTGGAAGGCTAGTGGGGCTAGGAGTACAGTGCACCAAGCTAGTTGAATCTAGTACCATTTGCCATCACATTCTTTTCACTCCTATGATTTCTTACCTTTGTGCTGGTGGCCCATCGTGCAAACTCTCTATTCGCTTCTCAAGTCATCTATTAACGTGATGGATGCTATGAAACAGAAGAGCGTGATGTTTCTGCAAAGCAACGAAAATCAATATAGTTGAGTTTGTGGTAAGCAAGCTTTACATCGCTGCAGTGTACAGCATCACACGAAGCACACTGTGTACAGTATTGAACGACGCAGGCATTTGGGTAAAGACAGACTATATGCTTCCATCCCCCATTGCGTATGCACCGTTGCATATGAAGATTCTGGCGTGCTGTTTACACCTGTACCGTAATTTCGTGCATGTAACTCTCCCTTCTATATAACCCCTCATCTACAACTACAAATTGCAGAAAAATACAAATAAAAAATATGTACACTCAAACCTAATTATCACAAAGTTGCATCTTATACAAAAATAAGTTCGTTATATTCAAAAATGTGTTAAAAAAGTATATTCCTAACACTATAGTTATTGCAAGACTATTCCTCATTTAATTCGTTATAGCCAATATTTTGTTACATCCGGGTGTGTTATATTAAGGTTTGAGTGTATGTAAAGGCAGTGCACTTAAATCAACTTGCCCTCCTAAATTAAGGCAGGAAATGCAATAAGTGAACTGAAAGTTATTTATCAAATTATCAGATATATCAAACTGATTCCCACTTTTTTTTTCGAATTTGATTTAAGGGGGCTCAATTGTATGTATATGCACATTCATAATGGTGATAGCCCATGTGTAACTGAGTAATAACATCGGAATAACCAAGAATATGTAAAGCCGGTAGGGGATGTGCCAGTAAGTTGACTCCTACCAACCAGATTCGTGTCTCCAAATTACGACATGTAGCCTCATGAAACACATAGGAGAGGCATGTTTGAGCCTGTTATATTATTCATCGTTCTCCCTTAAACAGTCATTGGCACAACATTTAGTTTGGCTTATATATAAACTCGCCCGAAAATCCAGCATCTTGTAGATATACAGTAATACCTTGGTGATACAAATCTGATGGAGTCACCAAAAATATTCGTATCATCTAAAATTTATATCACCAAAAAACATAAAAAGCTAGTATGCAACAAAAGAAAGCTAGCATATGTCTTCATTTATTGTTTCTCAGGGCCACAGAAATGGCATGAAAAACTCTGAGGAAGTACCAGTAAAGTTTCAAGATCTCAGCGATCACACTTGTGCTCATAAATGTACGCCGCATGCGCATATGTGTAATTAGTGAGCCGAATGTGTTGTGACCCGTGACAGCTAGTAGCCCCTTCCTAAAGTGCACTTTTTTTTGCATGAAGCCAGAGTACCATGGCGAAAGGGGCCTGAAAAGTGCTTGTAATGCAATATATGAGAACTAGAAAATTTTACTACCGCTGCCCTTTGTTTCTGTTATTTTTCAATTGTGATGGTGCTGGAAATGCTTTTCGGCAAATTTGAGGCCGTGCCCACGCAATAGACCTCTCCCTGTTTGTAAACAGTGTGACGTCACTGCGGGCAACCCGCCCACCATACCCTCTCCCAAAGCAGGCGCTGGTTGGCAAGAAAGTTCCGCTGGTGGCATCTTTCTGCATAGCAGAGCTGCGTGTCTACATTCCTTTGACAGAAATTTCTATATTGCTATGTTCTAAAGTTACAGCTTTTCAAAGAAGGTGGTCGCGGAAGGGTCACTGCTCATAGTGTGGAAATTTGTTCGTCGTAGATGGATGGATGGATGAAGAAACTTTAGAAAAAAGTACTGTGAGACGCGACTAGCACGCAGTGGGCTTCACCCACGTAGATGGCAGCCATAAAAAAGTCTGATCTTTTTTGAAAGCGAACGCTTTGAATGCACATGGTGACAGGCACTTTGAGGAATGTTTGCATCGCATGGATGTAAACTTATTCAATTTCTATCGTGGCATGTGTAATGCAATTTTAAACGAGGTACAGCACTCGCGGCAACATGATTTTGAGCTGCTGTGCGTGACTTCACAGGTAAGATTCTCACTTATTGCCCAAAAGTAGCATCGGAGATGAATGAAAAAAAGAAAAAAAGAAACAGTTCTTGTCATGTGTTCGGCTGAGGTTAACATATCCTCGTGAAAATGAAATTCTGCCACTGTGTTTCTCAATAACCCAGTGAAAATTCATTATCTGGCACAGTTACCTTGCTGCATTTGACACCTATAATGTGTTTTCATCCCTACATTGCTCCTTTAGGCTTGATACACAAACTTCTAATGCGCATTGTCATTTCATAAG